ATCATCGTCAAGCCTCTAAAACGTGCAAGGCTCTGAAGTGTGAGAACACGTTTTTCGCATGCAGGCTTAAGAACTAAACAAAAAAATAGAGGAAACACTGTGTGCATGGGAACATACTTTTGACATGCTTCTCAAACGCTTTTCTGGTGTATTTCACATGTATATCAAATTTACAAGTAAAAGGCGAGGTCACGCTCTCTCGTGTACTTTCTGCAGATGTTTAGAATGAATTTGCGGATCCTTATCGCGTACCTCACTGTGAATCCTTCGAAACTCGTTATGGTGAGCTAGTGGCTTAGTGCCAGAGCAAGGAGGTCTGAGATTCCATTCCTCAAGAGGGACTCATAAATTCTCCTGTTTCCCATGCTCGTGATGTGACCAAAAACATATTTCTCTAATTCATTACCGAGCTCAAAATTTAACCCCATTTCTCATTCTATTAATGTGATAGCACTTAAATGAAAGATTGAAGCCAATTGAAAACAAATACGCTCTAAATCCTACCCTTTTTCTACATATTTAGCGAGATAATAACAAATTCTCCTCTTTCGAAAATTTCTCGCGTAAAACTTACTGAGTAAAGGACCATTTGAATATCGGAATTGCAGGGGAAGACAAGGAAAACAATCACATTGACCTCACCTTTTAATTAGTTTTAGTTTGTTTGAAAAATCTGGGTGGTACGTCTTTTTCAAAGGAGTTAGTTTATTGTCAGTTTATCTGCAATAGTCGATTCACCATTCACCCGCATGTCAAACAAGTTCTATTTCGGATATCGATCAGTATGCTGACATAGCTAAATTCAAATTTGACACAGAATACTATTAGTCTTTTTTTTACTCTTACTTTATCAAAACGTGATTTTTTGTTAATCTGATCGGCAATGTTGTGTTTGACGAAGATATCTCTGTGTATTTCATATGCGTTTGATCTGTAGGAGCGACGCGCTTAGCTGTGCCTCGTTTGCCGCTGTTTGTTCTCACCACATTTTGTCATTTTTCGTTATCTGTGACTTATTATGAGACAGAACCTCGGAAACATGGAATCTATTTAATTATTACGCGTAGTCTGTTGCCGCTAGCTAGCCATCGAAAGCCATACTGGCACATAACAGGTGCACACCTTTTCCCTTGAGTAAAAAGGGAGTGGCAAGGAGAAATTTGGTCTGTGACATTTGGTTGACAGGTGGGAACACAAATGGAGCAGAGAAAGAGCCTCAGGACTGGGGAGCACTGGTTGCTGATAGACGGAAGGAATTGATGAGCTTCAAGCGCTGCTTCTTTTTACGTCATGTTTGACATGAAAGTGAAGTTGTAGCCAACATCTTCACCAAAGGTACTTTTATCCTTTCACATTTCTTTTCTGCGGTTTTATTCGTTGAAAGAACAGCCACTCGTCACTCTCTCACATTTCTTAACTGGGGTTGTTTCCGTTGGAAGAACAGGCACTGAGGAATGAGGTGTCATTGAGGTTCCATTCGCTACAATTCTGTTTCCTTCCATGCACGGCTTATCACCGACGAGTTCAGGAAACGATATGCATCTCATGCGTTTGGGCCACGAAAAGCCATGCTGACGCATAAGAGGCACACATAAACAACCATCTCCTAGCTCTTGCCCGTTCACAAATCGACCAACGCGGTGGAGCTTCTTTTTAGACGTTTGGCTGGCAGGTAAAGGGCATACATGAAAACAGAGGAAGAGCTTCAGGTCCGCCGAACAATTTTGATTGGTTCTTTCTCATGATCTATGGGAGGACAGACGCATAGATCACGTCACCATCAACAAGATTTTCCTTCTTTAATATATAATAATTGGTCCAACTACATTTTGACATCGTTTGTTATTTATTACTGCGAAGACGCACAGCAACATGGAATCTATTTGTTAATTTCATCATCATGCGAAAAAGCAGAACGGCTGTCTTGTATATGAACTTTTTCTCTAGTTCCTGTATGATATGAATGCATTCATACATTATATCTATGGTCTGCTGTTCTTTTTTTGAAACCATTAGGGGTGTGATATTCCATCTGATATGTTTGATCGATCGCAAGACCTTTGTTCTGGTTTCGTGACTTCGGCTGCAATGTGAACGATCTTTTGCGCATGACTAGCAACCACAATAAGCACTCTGTATGGGGTTCAACTTTGGACATTAGAGGGGGGAGTTAGTCTCAGTTGACAGGTGAAGGTATGAACAATGATCCCTCAAACGCGTGTACACCAGTGTAAGCTGTTGTTGAACTTTTAATGATAATGTCTACCTACCTAAAGGACGTAAAGACAGCAGAGTGGCAATAATTCTTAATAAAGAAACCACAACTTTTAGTTTGCAAGACATGTTTCGACATTCTTATGTCATCTTCAGTTGTAAATGCGATTTTAACGGTTGTACATTTGAATTTATATGAAATTACGTTACAAATTACGTCATATTGTTTATGTTACAATTTGAATATTAAATACGAAAAAACGTGACATAGCACGCCCCAGATGGGGAAAGAAGGAGAAAAGAAAAATAATGATCATAATAAGAAAAATTAATATGATGACAGAATCAAAAGGAAAGAGACAACTCTAGATGCTTCAATTGCTGATTAAGGATGGGTTTGTCCCACTTAATATGCAATGCCTCTTTGATCTTAATTTTGTGTTTCGAAGCGGCAGAATCTAAAATGGTGAAACATTCTGTACCACAAGAGTCGAGACAGGCCTTTGATGATTGTAGGTGCTTGTAAATGTGTGAAGTTTTGTCAGACAAGAGGTGCTCACGAACCCGTGTACAGATGTGGCGAGTGGTCTACCTACCTCTTGACAACTAGACAAATAACAAATATCTTAGTGATAAAAATCCATTTTTTAGTATGGTTTCTATTTAAAAGATCCTCCGCTTAAACCACCTGAAGAAATTGTTCATTCTTCCTTTTCACCTTTCATACTAAAGTATGCAGAACTTTTCACTGAAGAGAGCTTCTGTTTAAGATTTTATGTCATTGATAACAATGCTTGAACAGTAACAAGTTACAGACAAAACTAGCATTAAAGCCTGAAATATACTATTGGCTTTCTTCAAAATCCACTTGTAGCCTATTTCTTTTATTTAGAACTCTAAAAATAGAAAAAGAGAGGAGCAAATTGAGAGATCATATAAACTGTGCTGGAATAAACAGCTCTCATGTAACCCAGTGTTGTCTGTATACACTTTCATATTTGATTGACAAACCAACACAGGCTAAGGCCCTTTCAGCCAAATCTATGCCAGCTGACTCCCATTCAACTCAGTGACTGAAAACAGTAATTTCTTTCAATTCTTCATAAGATTGTAGGTCCATTGGAACACATACATGCAAAAGGAAATATTCAATCCACTTTGAACAAAAATCAAAACAGTTTAAGAAACAGCCATAAAAGTTTAAGACAGCTTACAACCTGACCACTGGTGTTTTTTTATCACAGAGTGGGATATAGATGACACCCATCAGATTCTTCTTCATAATCTGACCATCCTCAAGTTAATCATGCTGTTCAAGAACCTTATTCCGCGCTTCTGCTCCCACTGGAAAAATAAGACGACCTCCTGGTTTAAGCTGCTCTAGAAGCTTGGGGTAAAAAATGTATATACATATGAAAATAAATGAATGTTATTCACTAAAAGATTATTCTATTTCAAAGAATGCTATTTAATGCTGCGCATTAGTTGTCTGCTTGATATTGTATTGATATTGCAAGAAAAATTCTGCCTTGGTCACAAAGGGAGTTAAAAGGTTAAGCAAACTACTGTAAATGTGGTATACAAATCACATATCCACATTTTCCAAAGAAGGGTTCATGTTAAATTTAAGATTTAAGTTTATCTTCTACTCACAGCAGACGGTAATTCTGCTGCAGCTGCTCCCACATGGATTGCATCGTAGGGCTGCCCAGGTTCATAACCTTTGCGCCCATCACCAGCTGCAGTAAATGGAACAAATGCAATTTTCAATTGGAGTGACATGCAGCCGTCAGCAACAATTGATTTGGACAAATTTTTCTACAGCCACACTTATGCAAGAAAATGAAACATTTACAGACAATTTTGACTCTGCCCTTTTCAAGAAGTTCAGGCTTCCCTCTTTTAATATTAGCCAAAGAATCTTTGACAAGCTTATCAATATGATCAATTCCATGAACCTTTCCACTTTCTCCAACCTGAAGTTTCAAAGGATTCAGACCACTAGTTTTTCAGTTGAATAACTGTTAAGTGATACTCTTGTCAAATAAAGTTGATTTACTTATTTAAAAAATAGGAAAGAATGAGATCTAACCTAGGGCCAACACCGACACGTCAGCTTTAGAACCTCTTCATGGAGGAAAATTTACATTATTAACTGAGTTGATTAAACCAAGTTGTCTTGTTGTCTTTATTGCCAATTTACTACCACAGTCACAGTTCTAGAGTACTGATTCAATAATGACAGTGATACAGATAATAATGGAGTTAATGTTTCACAAATAGATAAAAATGATGGACAATAGTAAATTCTCAATTTCTTGCTATACATGAGCATGTTAATACTTATTGGTACACACCATATAAGCCATAGCAGCTGTGAGATAGCCACTCCCTGAACCAACATCTAAAGCACAAGCGCCCTCTTTGAGATGACCCTCAAGTTGTTGTAGTGCGTACACATGCTGTAACAACATTACATGTAACTTGCAGTAACTGAATCTAGCTGCAGATTTTGTCTGGCTGGTAACTATCAGTTGATTTAGAAACACTAGATACCCAAGAAGTAGCTATCTCATTTGTTGGTCATGACTATCTATACACCTTTTTCACAAAACTACATAAGTTTCTGATCATTGTTCTTACATATATGTTACTATTGATCACTCAGAAATCAAAGGAAGCAAAATTTGAAACAAAGCCATGATGATTGCTGATCATTTTGTATCATTACAGACAAAACTGAACTTCCTACTACTATGCCAGTGATAAATCAAACTGTAAGAGCATTTATGGAAGAAAAAAAACCATCAGTAAATAGAACATTACAGTTGATAGTTCAATTTAACAGTCTTCCAAGTGTTCAAATTCAGGCTGTTGATAGCTTATCTCAAATTATTTAGTTTGAGGTTTTGATTAAGAGAGGTTAGGCCTGTGCTCTGCTCCCGCTACCCGATGTGTCGGTGGAAGAGACGGCTGCACTCAGGAGAGTGAATCTAAGCTCCTATGGTAGCTTTGGATGGGGATATTTAAACTCTACAAAACTTATTTTCGTTCCCTGGTTATTTGGTAATTATTGGCATTAACCTAAGGGTTATATTCAAGTTAACGAGCGTGATATCTTTCTGCTTTTTTCTTTTTCTAATGTCGTAACCTTTTCGCCACAGGAAAGTTTTTCAACCTCGTCACTAAAGGATCTCAACGGGGTTAACCATTAGCCGTAAAACAGAAAAAACGACGAAGCCGCTAGACTAAAAAAATCGTGAAGTTGTATCGTTAGTAGTGGAAATAGTTAACCGAGAAATTTTCCTCTGCTAACTTTAACGGAAAAAAATCAATCGTTAGTTGTAAAATGGCTAAAATTAATAAATGAGAAAGCCTGCACAAGACTGCATAATAAACAAACAGTGCAAGAACAGATTATTAGCAACAGTAAGAAAATGAGACCCGAGTGAAACGTTAATCTTATCATGAGTGTCGAGTGTCGAGTGTCGACCATGCCAATTTGATGAAAGAGACATGTTGATTTAGACGTAGAACATTTTTTGATCGTTGTATAGTCGTTCCTAACACGAATTCGAGATTTTAGTAAGCTCGGGATAAATTCGTGTCACGAACTTCTGCATTATTTTAAGCGCACGCTAAGATCGGCGCGCGCAAACCAAAGCTGTTTTAAATTTGAAATAAATGGGACTAACAGTTATTTCGCCTTAAGACGGTAAAATAATTTAGCAAATTAGGTGTAAAAATTGTCGAATTTTATCCGTTACTGTTAAAAAAGGTTAACCGTTAAATTTTTCTTCTAACTTTAACAGAAAGAAATTAATAGTTAGCCGTCATATAATGGCCAATACAATGGATTCTCAAAACACAAATAGTGAACTGAACAGCAGATTAAGGCAAGTTATGTGGATTCCAATGTTGACCTATCGCAGACTAATAAAATTACTAGCTGAAGTCAGTTCTAAATAAGCGTTACCATCCATGGAAAACGTCTCTTCAGCCTCTGAGCTGCTAGTACATCAAGGGATTTTATAGTGTGATTTTATGTTATTGTAAGTTGTGACACGCTCTAGAACCCACATAATTATGTCTTTGCCGCGGAGTCGTTAGACTTATCGCAAAATAGCCAACTCCAGACGAAATGACAGTCAGACGAATTTTACTAGTTCCCAGTCTTCGCGACAACTTCAATGATAAAAGAGCTCTTCTTAGAGGGAAGAAAAGATTTGAAAGAGATCCAGCCCGGCTTGAAGGTTAAAATAGAACTTTGAAAAATATCAAACTGAGAAAAACAATGGAAAAAAAATGCGTTTCGTGTGCTCCTACAAGCCGCCACATGGAATGACATCACTGTAGAATTTCCGTTAGCAGACGTACACTTGGCAGGTAAATCTTGTCAATCTCATCTCAGCAAATTGAGCTTTGCGCGTTAAAAAGGCCTCAAATTACATGCTAAAACACGCAAATGCAGGTGCCAAGTGGTAATGCTTGTAAATCACACGCAAGACAGAATAATTAATTTGTAACGTTTGTGTTCTGATTCAGTCCTTAACCTTTAACCAGATGGTTCATAGCTTTCTTAGTCAGGTTAACATCGAAGAAATGGAATTAACCATATCATTCCTCAAACAGCCACAACAACAACAAAAAAATCAACCTAACAAACAAATAAAAAAGTACTGCAAAGGAGGGACTATTTCTTTTTCGTAAGTTCTTAATTGCGACAACGAAGACACAAAGAAGAGGTTATTTCAATAATTTCACTCCGCTGTTTTTAGATTAAACTTTCAACGGAGAAAATAAGAGAACTCCTTTAGTTATTTTATGAGAGGCAAGGCACTGCAAAAATGATGCGGTTTGAACTTTGTCACCCAACTCTGGATCTAAGAGATTGTGTCTTAAATATCATATAAAGGAAAGAGAAGAGGCTCGCTAACTTTAGCTGAAATAATGTCCAGTCCTTCAGGGTGACGCAGATCAAACACTTTTTCTGAATGAACATAGCTTTTGTTCTTTTTTTTAACCTCCTGTCATGTATTTTTCCATCTCTCCGAGTTCAGACTCTTCAGATATCGTTGACTACACCCGGTCTGTCTTAAAAATAGTATATGACAGTCTGTTTGTGTCGTCTTATCTCTGATGTACTTTTGTTAGCGTTGATTTTGATTCTTCACTGTAGGTTCACTCTGTAAAAACGAGGAAAACGAGCCAGCAAAGGAAGGAAAATTTTTTAAAGATAACTCTCCTTTGTCAATGTTTGGAATAAACACGAGCTCTTATTTTTATTGGTTTCATTCCAAATGGATATATTGCTACGAAAAATTTTTTCTTCCCGGTCTCCAAAGCCAAAGTAAAAAGAAAGAAAAGTAAATTACATTTAAATCAGAGATATCACTCGATAATAATATTAATAGTGATGAAAGTAGAAATTAGAGGAATTAAATTCAACTCAGGCGTTTATTTGTTTACTTGGACAAGCATTTGCACAAGATGTACCCAGCTCACGGAAGGTGCGTTTGGAAGAGTCCTGTATCATTACACCGATTTAATTAGAAGCAGCTAAGAAGATGTGAAAAATACTTCTTAACGTGTAGATCAAGTTAGTAACCAGGCCATTTTGCTTCACTCATTCAGCTTCACACTTTAACTCCCAGTAATGCCGGATTAACATGTAACTTCTCACTATAACACTCATACATTATTTAACAAACAGGTAATGAGAATACTCAAACGTATCAGGTAGAAATTGTTATCTTGATTTAACACCAGATTCTCGTGACTATTCTGCAAGGAAATGCGTAGCAGCCAGAGAGAATTAATCAGATCTTTGTAGTTTAAGGGTCAACTCAAGCGCAAACACAATAGCCTTATTTAACAGGGGAACGGCGTAAACGCCACAATACAAACTTAAATTTGGAAATACAGAACAAGAAGGTTTACCCAAAAGTTGACGTTTCGTTGACATTATGACGCTATTTTCAAGAGAACAATGAATATTCTTTGATTGCGAGAAGACTTAGCAGAGCTGAATTAATCAACACGAGGTAGCAAACAACGACTTCAGTTGGCACCTTGGCTCGGGCCATACCTTATGCACGATATGTTCAAATGGGCCACCGCATAGGGTCAAGGATATGATGTCTACCGAAGGGTTTACGAAAACATGAAGATTAGTGCTAAACCGCCCTAGACAAGAGGGATTGTTGTGAATCAACAAAAGTACCTGTTATCAACTGCTACGGCAACAAAAAACACTTCTGTTAAGAATTCAAAAAATGCGAGAGGAAGGGTGTGATACAGCAAGAGAAGACTTTATTTACTTATTTTACACAACTTAGATTTTTGCGCACTGGTCGACCAAGAAAAACAATGAATATAACTTTTATTTCAAAGATTACCGATATTTTTGTTTTTTATAGAGTAATTTAAACTTGACTTGGAAAGGATCTTTACAAGGCTACCTGCCCATCACATTTGAAAATTATATTTCATATAACTATTACTTTGACCTCAATAACAAATTAATATTTATTTACTTTACTCCGGTAGACTGAAAGAGCGCACATCTTTCTCGGAAATAGAAGAAGAGTTGAAGTGAACTTGAAAGATCAATTTTAAAGCTCAAATAAGGCTTTAAACTGCTTATGAAATTTAAGATTCGAAATCGCCAGCTTTCGCTAATCCACTTCATCATTACCGTATGGCTTGTTTTTCCAAATAACAAATCTAACGCAAAACGAGATATGACTGATGATATAAATGACGGCCATTATTAGAAAATGGCGCCCAAATGTTGCGGTTTAAAAGTCAGTCTTTTTGGTTCTCTGCTGTGTTTGGTAGTAGCTGCAGATGTTGTCGTGGAGGTATTGTTTATGCACCCTTATGTACAATCCCGTTCGGATCTATGCACGACTTCTTGCCGCCAGCTTTTGGAAAATTTTTGCATCTCATTCTCTTTGGCCAGCGAACGTGATGCAAGCGCATGAAAGGAGCACAACCTCTCTTCGCTTGTTTGCAAGTCGAGCGACAAGGAGGAAGTGGGTCTGTGACATTCGGTCGGCATTCAGGAGCGTACATAGAGCAAAGAAAGAGCTTCAGATTTGGAGAACACTTGCCTCCAAATAGTGGCCTGAGCTGTTGGAAATAGACGGCTTCTTCCTCCTTGATGTTTGGCAGTGAGGTACGGTTGTAGCCAATACCCTGGCAGAAAGGTATTTTTATCCTTTTACATTTCTTTACAGCGACTGAGGGTAAAGGTGTCGTTACGGATCCTTTAGCTGAATTTCTGTTTGGTCCTATGCATATCTTTTGGCCGAATTTCGGAAAATTTTCGCATCTCATTCGCTTGGGCCACGAAAAGCCGTACTGGCGCATAAGAGGCGCACAACCTTCCCTTGCTTGTTGGCAAAGTGATCGACATGGGGGAATTTCTTTACCATAGTTCGGCTGACATATAGGAGTATAAATGGAGCAC